AAAAAAAATTCAATTTAATGGATAATTTCCATATAAAACGAAGCCAAACGAACACTAAACTTTGATTAAAAAATAAATTTTTTTGTATTTTTTTTTTTTACATTTTGGCAATGGAAACAAATTTTATAACCAATTGTGGAAAGAATTATCATTTTAATGGACAATTTTCATGTAAACCAAAGTCAAACGAATATAAAAATTTAAAATTTTCGGGATGGAAAATTATACCAATCAAACACACTTAATTAACAATTCTATGCAAAACAATTTATAGGCAATTATTTTCCTTAGAATTCATTTTCTTTCCACCAATTTTCCACCCTTACAATAAAACGGACCCTAATATTATATAGGTTTTAATATTTTTTTTTTTCACAAATAATTACAAAAAATATACTTGTCAAAACTTAAACCATTTCAATTATTTTCTTGAAATGGAATAATATTGACCCAAAACTTTAACTAAAAACGAGAACAATAAAGTCTACTCATTGTTATTCTTTATTGTATTTTTTGCATTACAATAGAATATTTCAAACTCAATGCGGTACAGTGGCGGAACTAACACCAACGAGGTGGTGCTGCCACACTGAAATTTAAAGGAGCAGCCGCCCAAGGGGAAGATGAGTTACAGTTACCGTCGTGAAGACTGAAGTTACAAGGAAGAAGAATTTTAGTTGGGCCTCTTTATAACAATAGGCCCATTAAGTGAATTCAATTGGGAACAAAATAGAATTAGCACAATGCCCCCCGTCATTCATACAACATTTCACACTTGCAGAAACCACGGAAAGTCAAACCCTATATTCTACCTCCCCTCTCGACTCCAGTTGTCTCCCACTCCATAGCCATCGGCATGCAGCCTCGACGCATAGCGCCACTGCCAACGCCAGTGGCCTACGTTGATGCTTGCTCTTCGATAGACGGCAGTAAGCCAATAAGTATTTCTTTACAAATTATAAGTTTTACTAAATTACTTAATTTACTTCAAGTATTAATTTATGTTTATTTTATAAATGAGAAATTCGCATGATTTGGAAATTGGATTAGGAAGCTGCATTTCCTAAGACTTGTTTGAGAAATTGCCTAGTACTTCAATTCAAGGTACATTGATAAATGATAATGTAACCTATGTTTTTTTTAATAAATTTTAAATAGTATAATCTTAATTTTAGAACTTGAAGTTGAAGTCTTGATGTATTGATCATTTGATTGGAGATTTATTATCGTGATAAATAATTATTTATAATTTATGAAAATTGGGGAATTTGAAATATAGGTGATAATGACAAATTGGGGAATTTGTGATATTTGCGATAAATGACAAATTGAGGAATTTATGATATGTAATATGTATATGATTTTTACGTTTTAGTGCATTTATATATAGATTAAAGAATTTTTACTATTATTTAATTAAAAATTAATGAACAACATCGATATTAAGGCTATTGAATGTTGACGGTCAATGGTCAACGATTAAGAACTGCCCTAACTGACCTTCAATCCTGAATTCACCACTGATGCGGTATGAATGTTATGAGTACAAAAATAAATATCAAACAATATATAATTTATTGAAGATTGTTAAATAAATTTATGATTTTTTTTATTATAACTAAAATCAATGTTAATTAGCATTTAATTATTAGATCATAAGAAATGAGAAAACGAAAGAGAAACTGGAATAATTAAATATTATAAAATTATATCACAAATGTATAAGAGTAAAATAGGAAATAAAATATCATTTTGGCTAACAAGGGAGAATTCTTTTAGAGTAATTATATTACCACCATGATTTTTACTTGTTAAACACACACTTAAAAATATATTTTTAATAAAGGTGATTATATTCACATCACATCATTTTATAAATACACCATAATTTAATTACATTGAAGATTTTTAATCTTTATATATTATTAGAGGTGTAAAAGTGGGCGGGCCGGGTTCGTCCGAACTGGGTGAGGGCACAGTTGACCCGGCCCGAACGCTGGCCCGCTAGCACTTTTTTTTTAAAAAATAAACGGTAAAAATAATTGTAGTGAAAATTGATAAAAGTTATATAAAAATAAATTTTA